GTGTGTGTGTGTGTGTGTGTGTGTGTGTGTGTGTGTGTGTGTGTGTGTGTATGTATGTATGTGGAGAAGGCTCCAATCTGAGAAAAGGCCACGAACATTCTGAGCTGGTAAAATTCCAAGAAGAGGTCAGCAAAGTGTCAGGAAATAGTCAAGTCTTGAGTGAATGTGTGCTGTTGACATGCATACAGCCATATCAAGGACCCCAATGCCTTAGACCCACAAGAGTGGCACAGCCTTCCCTGGGTGAGGCCCAGAGGGATGGCAAAGCCTTCCTTGGGGCCAAGTAGTAATGTTGAACATCTAAAAAATGAAGAAGTAGTGATTGTATGGAGCAAGTGAAGCCCTGAGTGAATGTATGTTGTTGACAGGGGCACGGCCATGGCAAGGGCTCCACTGCCTTAGACCTATAGGAAATGACAACCCTTTCCCTGGCTGAGGTTCAGGGAAATGTAAGGTTTTCTCTCCTTGTTCACCTGTGAATGTGAAAGTGGATGCAGAAAATGCTCACAGTAGCTTTCTCTCCCTTCCCTGCCATGTTTACAGACTCAGGACTACCCCCTCTCAAGACAGTTCCTGCTCTGATTTGCCAAACATGCCTCCTTGATTTAGCTATATATAAGAATCATGCTGGAAAATACTGCAGTTTCTCTAAGAGCATAGACCACATGATCCCATCTTTTCTTGTGTCTGTCATTTCTTCATTCCTTCATCACCCCTAGGCAGGGTCTTGGAATCCAAGCAATGGAAGGATGTATCAGGTCAGGGCTGAACTTGGTACACAAGAGACTATTATTTTATGCTAGATTAAAATGTATCATTTCTCTCACTGAGCTGAACACTCCAAGCCTTTTGTGAGGTAGGTACATTACTGATGAGGAAACTCACTCAGGCTTGGAAACATGTTCAAGATCACACAGCTAAATAGCTATCAAAAGAGGGAGCTTTGAACCCTGACTCCAAAGTCAGCAATCTTTCCATTAAGCTGTGTTATGGGTGTGGATGTGTTCACAGATGAAGAATCTGGCAAAAGGAAAAAAAAAAAAAAGAAAAAAGAAATCGCTGGGGCAAAGCATGTTTTGCTTGTTTGCTCACTGTGGTTGTGAAAAAAAAAAAAACAAACACTGTGTATATGGCTGTTAGTGACACTGCACTGATAAAAAGCCCACACAATCTGGAGTCAGAAACTAGTTGCTTTTTTCCCTTGCCACCTGCATACCAAGTACCAACTTCTATAAATGGTTTGCTGTTAGTCACCAACATGGAAATGGTGAGAGATGATGTGGTACTCTCAGAGTCTACTAATTGGCTTCAAAGGCCAGTGACAAGACTGTAACAGGAAACCATATGAGGACCATGTAGGGAACAGCATGAAGAGGAAGGGGCCAAAGGTGTCAAGTGTGTGTATGTGTGTGTGTGTTTCAGTGTTTACTTCAAAAGAAAAGACCACAGGTCCAGGAAAAATGCCTCTGTGTTTAAAATGCCTCTGGGCAGTTGGGAGTGCCCCGGAGGAGGAGTGAATGGAGCAGCTGCAGGGCATGTGCAGGGGAGATGCTAACCCTGAGGAAGGTGTTTAACAAGTGTATTGGAGGGCCAAACCGAGCCAGACAACATCTATCAGATGCCTGCTTGGCTCTCTCCTCTCAAGAACGCTCTGCTTCCCAACTCCAGGGAAAGCTTGAGAGTTTTATTACTTCTTTTTATGTTCTCTCTAGCTTCTCAATTTATCAGATGTCACCCTTTTATACCCCTGTTTTTCACATTAGTGACTCCTTCCCATTCATTTCTGTTCTGATGAAAGGCAATTTCAACTCTGCGCTCCGACACTGGAGCCATGAAGCAAACGCATTCAGTGTTTGCCACAATAAAGACTGGTCTCTTTCCGGCTCTTGTTTATTTTCCATTTTGCCCCTTTCCTGTAACTGCAACATGCTTCAATTCCCACTCAATATTTACTACACGACACCTTTGTTACACTGAAAGCTTTTTAGTAGAAACGGGTCTGTCAAAGACCCCCTGCTCTTTGCACAGTAAAAAGCTGAGCAAGCTCTTGGTCTAGTCTTTATACCTATCACTCTCCAAATAAAAACAGGATTTCTGGGGCCCTTGCTTTACAATAACAAAGCAACATAAATGTCACTGGATCTGACATTTTGGAAACAATGCTGACAGGATAACACAAAACTGACAAAATGAAAATAAATTTGAAATGACAGGGACAGCAATGTAAAAAATGCATAACTGAGCTGGGAGCAGTGGTGCATGCCTTTGATCCCAGCACTCAAGGAGGCAGAGGTGGGCGGATCTTTGTGAGTTTAAGGCCAGCTTGGTCTATAAATCGAGTCCAGGCCAGGCAAGGCTACACAGAGAAAACCTGACTCAAAAAAACAAAAAATAAAGATGCATATTTGGTTTCCATAATTAAAATATCAAGTAAAGTGCAAATAGAAAAGCATACTTAAAAAAACAAATATCAAAATGAAAAATTAAAGAACTCAAAAAGCACAAGTACATTGTATATGCATTTTAACTGTAGATTCCGAAAGTAGGAAACTCAAACTTGTCATTTTAAAATGTGAATGTGACCTAAGGAAACATGCAGCTATTAAGTGCTGTTAAATCTATGACAACATGTATATTAAAAGTACTGTTTGCCTGCATATTGAAGCATGAAGCAGGGATGGAAGGACTGGAAAGCAGATTACTTTGGCATGACTGTCTGACTGCTTATAGCATGAAACATACCTATAACATTGCTTGGAGTGACTGCTGCATTCACTGACTAATAATTGGTAACTTTCTCCTTCCTTCCTTCCCTTTACTCTGTTTCCATCTTCTTAGGAAAGTTTGTGAGACTTTCAATCCTCTATTTCTATATTTAGTACTTTCACATTTAACTATGTAACTATATTTAATTAACTCATTTTCTTTAAAAAGAGGCACTAACGATATTTAATTTTATAGCTCAAATCAGTAACATTAAAATTAAATCAACATGCTATACAATCTTAAAACTACTATTAATTTCCTAGGAAGTTTGGGCTGTCCACAGCAGTAAAATAGGACACTAGGACTGACTTATAAATGTCTTAAATAAGGAATAGCTAGGGAAGCTGGTTCAGTAATAAATTTAAAAAATTTTCCTAAAAAATTATTATTCACTTTATAATCAGTACAGTTCTTTCATAAAAATGGGGTACCACCACTTAGTGCTGTAATTCTGCAACAAGCTCATTTGACAATGGGTAAAAACCAGGTTTGATGTTTATAAATGATTAAAAGAAAGACAGTTTTAAAAATGTTTAGCATTGGAATAACAATTTTAATCTCAGTATCTGAACTTAAAGAACCTATACTTAAGAGTTAGGTCACTCAGGAACATTCATTGAAGATCAGATCAGCTATTTTAATAATATACTTAACCTAATATATAAAAAATATTATTTCCACACATACTTAAAATTAATAAAATGTTCCTTTTGTGCTCTTTGGGATATCATATGTCTTACACTTACATTCTATATAAAATTAGTCTAGTGACAATTTAAGTGCTGAACAGCAAGATGTGTATAGCAGCTACAAATAAAATGGGACAGCTCTAGATAAACTGATTGTTTTCTTCGTCATTACTTTTACTTAT